ATGAAAACTCCGAAACAGATTTGGCCCAATCAAAATGGAAGAGTGATCCAAAACACCAAAATGAATCTGAATCGAAACATAGCTGTTTTGCACAGCCCTAGTTGCCATGGCTTTTCTACACTTGTCTCTACAAGATCAGGCAAACCATACAATTGTTGGTCTTAATTGGTGCAATTGTTTGGAGTTCTGCTGTGTATCAATATTTACAACAAGGGCTATTACTCACTAGCAGGTGTGGGAATTTACTGTGAAAGAATATTCTTGGGCAGCTTCTTAGAGCTGTCAGTAGTAGCAAGCCTCTTATTTGCAAGTGCTGAAAAAGAACCAATTGGCCATCTTTCACCGCAGGGAGAAGAGAGCCTGCAGCATAGGAAATTAATTCTTGAAATTTGCTTTAATCCTAAAAACAGCCTTTGTCATTGATTCATTCCCTTCAGCATGGAGAACCATGCTGGTAGAACACATAGATCTTTGTGTCATTTCAAATCAGCAGCAATGGTTTATTGAACTCTGGTAAGAACCTAGTAGTCAGTCACATTCTGCTTCGTGTTAAAAGGGGTAGGTGAGCCAGCCACGCTGTTCTGAGCAATCGAATTATAAGGTTTTGTTGTATTACAATCACTTTGTTTAGTAAGTCTTGGGCTCTCTCAACTGATAAAAATATTCCTGTAGCTTCAGCCTCTCTCTTCTTCTACGTAAGGACTCCTCTCACGCTTTCTTAGTTTTCTAGTTAGATGGTGAGAGATGGGCTTGATTTGATCAAAAGGCAACTCAGCCGACATTCTGCCTCCCAGATTCTGCACACCATGCACTCTCCTATCCTGCTGTAATATGTTTTGTGTATCTGTGGACAAGTAAGCTTGCTGAATTGTCCATTCTTGTTAAACGCCCAGTCCTGTGTTCTGGGGAAAGGCAGCAGATATGCCATTTTCCTTTCTGGAGGAACAAGTTTTAAACTTGCTGTCTCTAACATGCTTCCTGCCAAAGGATGAGCCAGGTTACTCAGCAGGACTCTTTACATCCTTCCCTGAAATAAAGCAGCTCTCAGAAAAGGAAAGATGACTATAGAATTCCAGCAGACTTGCACCAGAGAATTGGCGTAATAGAACAGAATTGCCAGTGATGAGGCTTAGCTAGGGTACAAATACTTAACCGCCTTGTTTTTGTGCTTGCAAATCATTCCTCGGCCATGAGGTCTTACCTGAAATGGAGTAACCCCAACAAACCATAATGGAAGAGTAGCACACTGGTCAGTAAGGACACACAGGCCTGGCAGTTGCATGACACACTGTGTTCCTTCCTGTCCCAGCCTACATCCGTATCCCTGCTTATGAGAACAAGCTGTATCAGCCACTCCTGAAAATAATTTGACAATACTGCCCACAGAGCATAAATGGGCTTCTCCAGCCTGTTCGCTCAGCAGTTTCAGAAACCATGAATGCAAACTCCCACCCAATCCAATGCCCTGTGCACAGGAGTATCTATGCATGAGTAATTTTCAATGTCTTTATTTAAGCTTCAGCATGGAAGAAAAAAAGCAATTAGAACCAACGATTGACAAGAGGCTGTTGAAGCTGAATTGAACTAAATTTCTCTAAATTCTATGGATTGCTGCTCCTGCCTCAATTATAGATGGTTTCAGTGAACAAGAGATGTAAAGTCAGACTCCTATAAACATACATGTATGAATGAAGGTTTTTTTGCGTTTTGTTTTTTTACTGCTCTCCAATTTAGTCTATGATCATACTGCTTTGTCTGGCTCCATAATGAAGTGTTCTTTTTTGTTTTCAGCTCCTTGGCAGAACTGTTTCCATCTCACCTGAGTGAAATTGTTACAGTGCCAAATCCTTGAATTACCCAGAAAGCCATTAGTGTTCAGTGCCAAAAGCTGGAGTCTACTATGGCTGCAGTGGAGGAATCTAGTGGCCAGAAGCAGCCTTCTTTTAGTGTAATTGGTCTGAACTATTTATATTTTGCCTAAGGTTTCACCACCATCACTGTTCTACTGCTCTCATTATGCCCTGCTTGAATCACTTCTTTGTAAGTTTTGGTTCTTCCTTTATATCATCCTTGCTTCCTTTTGGGTATGTGGATGTTTCATAGTGGTAGTATCTTTTCCCCTAAGGGTCACGCTTCTTTACAAGTAACCCTGATTTGAAATCAAAGTTCTTAACTGAAGACCCCTGACTACACAATCTGTAAGGTAAGGGAGGTTTCTTTTGGAGAACTGACTTTGGTAGGGAGGGAAAAAAAAGATTTCTAATCCAGCAGTTCACTTTATTTAGATACACTGCTAGGCACTGACCAGAGACAGAACTTTCCATATGCCTACATATCAAAAAAATGTATTTCTGGAGGGTATGGCTAGTATTCAGAGACCGTGACAAATTGAAGAATTGGACTAAAGAAATCTCATGAAGTTCAATAAGGAGAAGGCTAGCACAGTTGAATGAGTAAGGGAGAATACTGGACAGCAGGACACTAGCTTTCCACTCATTACCACCTATGCATAAGGTCACTTGGATGCCAGCAGGATGACAGCTTGTACAGTAGGGTCAAGTTTGCTCTTCCTCTTCTGCCTCATCCCTGCATTACAGGTGCATCCATTAAGCAGCCAATCCAGGCAACTACTCAAATCCAGTTTGACACCATCAAGCCATTAATTGTCAGAGGTTGGTCATGCACAGTACTGTCACTCATAGTAGACGAAAGAGAAATCCCAGAATCCAGCATTGTTTGGATGCTTTTTCAGATGCTCCAAGCTACGGTGATTAATATACTTCACAAATTTCAAAGTCTCTTTGTCCCTGTAAACTAAGGCCAAGCAGTTGTTCTCTGGATTCACAGTCAGCAGCTAAAACAAACAAGACAGATTGGGGAGAGGTATATTTTCAGAGTGATGACTTAGAAATATTATTCAGAGAACCAGCAACAAGGTAAGTCTCAAAAGACACTTGGAGAAGATCACGAAAGCTTGTAAGTTCATTACTGACCCCATGCAGAACTCATCAGAGAAGAGCTCTGGCCTAAGTCAGAAAATGTGGGACGCAGCACATCTATAATAAAAAAACCCACCAGCTGATACATACTAATATCCAAGAAACACTCATCTAAAAGAGTCCTAGCATCTATGGAAGTCCATGGAACCAGACCTATGTTGTGTCAGGAGCCATATAATCCCACAAGAGCTTATTCTTTAAAGCAAGTACCACCCAAACAGGTAGTTGAGGACAGGTTTAATAGCAGCCCTCAACTACCTGAAGGCTGGTTCCAGAGAAGACGGAGCTAGACTGTTCTCAGTGGTGGTGAATGACAGAACAAGAAGCAAGCTGCAGAAAGGGAAGTTTAGGTTAGATATTAAGAAAAACTCTAACAAGGGTAGGAAAGCACTGGAACAGGTTATGCAGAGAGGCTGTGGAATCTCTACCCTTAGAGGTTTTTAAATCCTGGGTAGACAAAGCCTTGGCTAGGGTGATATTGTTGGGGATAGTCCTGCTTTGAGCAGGGGATTGGACTAAATGACCTCCCGAGATCCTTTCCAATCCTAAGTTTCTATGATATTAGTCATTGTACACACAAAGTGGAAAGCAATCTGTTGCTCCACAGTCCTGGGGCTTAGTCCTGCAGTACACTGTGAATGGGAAAAGCAAGAAGAACCTCAAGGCAGTTTTAAAACAACTAGCCAATTGCCTGTCAAGAATGATAGCGGGGGAGGGGGCTGGGACAGAGTGCTGCCGCATGCTGCTGCTGTTCTGCCTCTTGCAGGGAGTGGGGTGGGACACCCGAGGCTAGCAGCACTGTCTGGTCCTTGGTGCAGCTTCGGAATCAAAGCAGCACTCCCCCACGCTTGGACCACTCTGATAGCTGTTTCCATCAGCCAGAGTGCAAATAGTGTTACAGACAGACCTAGGCTTTTATAATACTAGAATGCTGGAGTAGAAGAAGCTCTTTAGAAACAGTTGTCCTGACTGATTAGCAGGGATCCTGGTTTTCCCTGCTTAAAAAAAACCAAAAATCCCCCCCCGCAAATTCTCTGATAACTCCCCCCCCCAAATTTGTAATAAAAATTAAAGGCCCCCCACAGGCCCTGCTGGTGCCCCTCACTCCCCGCCACAGCCTCCCCAGTCCTGCTTGCGCCCATTACTCCCTCAACAGCCCCCCATACTCAGGCACAAACACATGCAGTCCAGCAGGTAGGTGCATGTGGAGGAATGGGGGTAGGGGAAAGGAAGGGGTTGGGGGTACAGATAGAAAATGGGGAGTGGTGGGGCAAGTTTCCACCCCCCCTACTCCTGGCAAGCAGCAGTGGCGTGGGTTGGTGGGTAGCAGAACTCTGTCCCCACCCTCCCCCTGGCAGGGAGGGGGAGGCTGTGGGGAAGAGGGGAGGAAGGGAGGGAGAGAGGGGAGCAGGACAGGGAATGGAGGGG